CAGATTTAACTTTAATAAATCAAAGAAATGCTAAGGAAATATGCTTAAAACTTAAAGCCAGGAAACAGGCTGGATTCTGTTCAAATAGTAGGTACATGAACCTATCGGCAACTCCAGACAAGACAAAAATCCTTAAAATTGAAAAACAAAGCCTAGAAAAAAATCAATAATGTTTAGTCAAAAGTCATAAAATTCTATTTCACCAGCTCAGTCTCATGTACTTTATCTTTTGTTGTGATTCAATTTTCCCAATTAAATTCTGAGATGTAATATTCAACTCCAGACTTGTCTCCATGATTAAGTTGGCCATTTTCTTAGTTTTTGAAGTCTTATTTCTGTGTGACTGTATTTAATTTTCTTGGAATAGCACTCTCTGCTGAATTTCTTGGAAATCTGGTCTGGTGTTGGTAAATTCTTTCAGACTTTATCTTAGAATGTTCTTGTCTTTTCCTCCTATATGAATGATAATCTTGCCTGGTATAGTACCAGTGGTTGCAATTGCTTTTCCCTTAACATTTTGAATATATTTTGCCATTCTTTCCTCACTAGCATTGTTTCCAATGAGATATCCGCTGTCAGCCTGATGGGACATCCTTTATAGGTAACTTGTCATTTCTCTCTTGCCAATCTTAGTATCTTGTCTTTGTCTGTGGTTTTGTTCAATGTGGCTATAATGTGTCTTGGAGAAGATCTTCTTGGGTTGATTCTATTTGGGGTCCTTTGTATTTCTTGGGACTGAGTCTTTGAGTGCCTCTCTAGGTTTGGAAAGTTTTCTTCCAGGATTTCATGGAATAGATTGTCAATGCCCTTATGGGTCTCTTCCCCTTCTGGGATACCGATTACCGGATGTTTGGATGTTAGATGGTATCTAGTATTTCTCATATAATATTATCATGTTTTTGGACAATTTTCTCAGTCTTTGTGGTGCATTTTTCTAGGCCAGTAATTCTATCTTCTACAACTGAGATTCGATTTTCAGTGTGATCTAGTCTGCTTTGAATACTTTCAAGTGAGATTTTGATTTCCTGTATTATAGTCTTCATCTCTAACAAATCCATTTGATTCTTTTGAAAAATGTGTAATTCCTCTTTTAGATCTTGCAAGAATTTCCTCACCTCCTGAGGCTCGTCAGCTTTTTTCCCCTGCCTCTTTGCAGTTCATCGTGTCTTCTCTTCAATCTCTGTGAGCTTTGTCACCATGAAAATTCTAAATTCTTTATCAGATATTTCCATTAATTTTATCATACTGTCTGAGGATGAAGAGGACTTATGTTTCCTTGGAAGAGAGGTATTTTCTTGTTTTCCATATTTCTTGTGACCCTGCAGTGATCTCTAGTCATCAGATGGATGGTGCATTTCTTCTAATTCTTGAAGTTCAGTCTGTGTTCAAAGGCGTGCAGGAGGAGGTGATCTGCAATCTCTCTTCCGTTTGTTCTCACTCTTCATGCATCAAAATCAGTGGAAATAGAGGAGTATTCTGACCCTAACTGTATTCAGATGTATAGATTCTATTCACTTGAACCTGTCTAGACACTTAGTGAGCAAAGGCTGATGAGAAGCAAATGAGTAAAGATTAAAAATAAAGAAAAGAATTAAAGAAAAGGAAAGAAGAAAACATAAAATAAAAAAAAAACTATTCTTAATCATATCTCTACTTTTGAAGGATAATGACAGTCTTGAAAAAAAAAACCAAAAAAAAACAAAAAACTATTCTTAATCATATCTCTACTTTTGAAGGATAATGACAGTCTTCACTGAAATTATTCTAAAACATATGCCACAGTCTATCTCTCTCTCTTTTTTTTTTTTTTTTTTTTAAGAGAGAGAGTTGTACTATAGGGCACATGCGCTTGCCAGAGAGACAGAGACAGAGGGAAAATGAGAAATCACTTCCCCATGGCCATGCCATAATCCCTTCTCCTCCATTCTCCTCTTGGGATTTTGGGCTCGCATGCACACATGCTCAACATCAGTTTTGTTTTTTTTTCCTTTGAGAGGTTTTTGCTATAGGGTGCGTGCACTCATCAGACAGACAGAGACATAGAGACAGAAAGTGAGAAATTACCCCCAGGGGGGATGGCCACACCGCAATCCCTTCTCCATTCTCCTCTCGGGATCTTGGGCATGCACACACACGTGCTTGGCATGAGTTTTAAGCCATCAGATCTGGGACTTGCACCACAATCGACTACATGGGAGTCCAGCGACATAGCCATTACACTAACTGCTGGTCTCTTGACATCAGTTTTTTAAGCTGCTGGGTCTGGGACTCAAACTGCAGTCGACTATGTGGGAGTTCAGTGACATAACCATTATGCCATCTGCTGGTCCCTGCCACAGTCTCCTAAGGACAATCTCAAGATTGAGTTTCCTAGTATTCTGAACAATAGCAACATTCTCAGAATAAGTATATAATTTCTGAAGGTGCCCTTCATGAAGGTGACAAATTGCATCTGAAAACTCTGAGGAAAAAAATTTCTTTGCATTACTGAAATATCACAAATTGAACGATATACCTATTTCTTTAAGTATTTCAGCACAAAATAAATTCTGGGGACGAGTAGTTAGCGTAATGGCTACGTCGCTGAACTCCCTTGTAGTCGACCGCAGTTCGAGTCCTGGACCCAGTGGCTTAAACTCATGCTAGGCGCGTGTGCGTGCGTGCCCAAGATCCCGATAGGAGAATGGAGAAGAAGGGATTGTCGTGTGGCCATTCCCCCTGGGGGGTGATTTCTCGCTTTCGATCTCTCTGTCTCTCTGTCTTTCTGGCGAATGCATGCGCCCTATAGCAAAAACCTCTCAAAAAAAAAAAATTTAGTTTATGTGGGCAACCTAGGATTCACTTAGATTAAGACCTTAACTCTATAACCTGTCCCAAGAACGAATTCTTCTGAATGGAAATACCACAAGATGCTTACTTAGGATTAATCTAGAAGCCTTACAAATACCCTGAGATGCCGTTGTGACTTTTCGTACAGACTCATCAGCTGCGTCTTACCACATGTGCTGTCACAGGACAATGGTTCTTAAATTCCACTCACCATAAAACATGCACCTTTGATTTTGTGGATCCAGGGTGGACTCCTAAGGCTACTTTGAGGATGGTAGTCCCAGAACACAACCAGGGAAACCCTGGCACACGGCCTGCCCCAGCGAGTCCCACAGGAATTCCACTTTTGTGTTTTGTCCTGTCACACGCAGCAGACTGGCACCTAAGCAATGCCGACTGCATGATGTAGGGCCTAGCATTCCGGCAGTTGATCTCTGTTCCCGGGTCTCTGAGGTGTCACATCCAGGTTTTCAGCACTGAAGTCGATTTCTCTGCTTGTTTTTTCTTAATAATATGTAAGCACTGATTTATCTGGGCTTAGATTTCTCTGCTACTTTCTCATACTGGCCAGTTAATCGAGACAGTATAAAAGATTTTATTTCAGGGTCAGCAGATGGCGTGATGGTGAAGGGTGCTGGACTCCCACACGGCCGACTGCAGTTTGAGTCCCAGATCTGGTGACTTGCCTTCTCACTTTCCCTCTCTCTCACTCTATCCCTCTCTAGTTAAATTAAAATCGATAAATAAATGGATAAAGTTAAATAAAATAATTCTTTAAAATAAAAAAATGATTTTGTTTCATCTGTACAATTTTGTTTCATTTATTTTTTCCACTACCCGAAGGGTTCTAGATTTGAAACTAGGGAGGGAGTATGTAAGATAATTTTAAAGATTATACATTACCTCATTGTAAGGTGAAAATATAAACTGGAAGATGATCAACAGTCCGATTAGAGTGGGCTGGCTGTCATAAAAACCAAATGCAGTAAATAGCTCCTTCCGGCCGATTAATACAGCAAATAAGAAAAAACATAGGAAAGAGTTCATCTAGAAAGAAGAACATGAAGTTTCCATTACTACTAATTTCACTGTGTGTGAGATCAATTAGTTAAAAAAAAAAAAAAAGTACAAGAAGAAACCATTGTGTAATTTTATTTTATTTATTTTTTAGAGAGATTTTTGTTATAGGGCACATGTGCTTGCCGGAGAGAAAAAGAGACAGAGAAAGAAAGTGAGAAATCACCTCCCAGGGGGATGGCTACCCCGCAGTCCCTTCTCCTCCATTCTCTTCCTGGATTTTCAGCATGCACACACATATGCCCAGCATAAGTCTCAAGCTGCCGGGTCCAGGACTTGAACTGCAGTCAGCCATGTGGGAGTCCAACGTCTTAACCAGTAAGCTACCTGCTGGCCCCGACCATGGTACGATTTTAAGAAAAGTGCCAGTGTGATCATACAAAAGGTTATTTAGATAAATTTGGGACCAGCAGGTGGCATAATGGTTACGTTACTGGACTCCTACGTAACTGACCACGGTTTGAGTCTCAGCCCTGGTGGCTTAAACTCAATGAATGTGCGTGTGTGCCCAGAATCCCGAGAGGAGGATGGAGAAGAAGGGACTGTGGTGTGGCCATCCCCCCGGGGGGTGATTTCTCGCTCTCTTCCTCTCTCTATGTCGCCAGCAAGTGCACATGCGCGATAGCAAAAATCTCTCTCTCAAAAAAACAAATAAATAGATAAATAAAAGAAAGGAAAGGTTGTTTAGGTAATTTTATGGTTTCATTTTTACTTTCAAAAAGAAAGTAAAAACTTCCCCAAATGTAGAAACTGTATGGTTTCTATCAAGACTTATAACTGACGGCTTGAAGTGGTCAATAGCAATAAGATTCTCTCTAAAGTTAAAGGGCTTGGGTCAGTCCATGGTGTGGTGGTGAAGGCGGCTAGATCCCACATGGCCAACTGTATGGTTCAAGTCCCAGATCTGGCAGCTTGAAAAACACACCAGGTTTGTGTGTGTGTGTGTGTGTGTCCCAAATCCCATAAGGAGCGGAGAAGGAACTGCAGCATGACCATCCCCCACAGGGGGTGCTATCTCACACGTCTCTCTATCTCTCTCTTACTCCCTCCTGTGAGCACACCCTCTTGAAAATTAAAAAAAAAAAAAAAAAAAGTTAAAGGGCTAGAATGGATAGAGTCAGGCTTTATTGTAAAGACTGTAATCAGACACAAGGCCGCCCACCTGACCTTGATGTGGGGGCTACACAACAACGGGCTTCCCTTGAATTCTTTTTAGGACCTCTGGAGCCATACTGGATTGTCAGAAAGGTCAGAGAAAGAAGGGGAAAAAAAAATCAGAAGTCTGTACTTCAGACTGAGCTGGAGACTAAACCCCATTCTTTTCTATCAGCAGAAATGAATCCTAGAGGCCACATTTAAGTGGCCAGGTGAGCTCAGTGGGGCCCAGAGCATGAGCAGGCTGGCAGCGGTGCCAGGACGAAGCACAAGCAGCTCTGCCACTCGGCCCTTGTAACTCAGTGGCCCCACTGTGGAAAGCTCCACTAGAAAATGGACTATGAAGGCCAGCATCTACTTTCTTTTCTTTTCTTTTTTTTTTTTTTAAGAATTATTTTATTTAACTTAATTTATTTATTTATATTTGACCAGAGAGATGGGGGGGGGGAGAAAGCAAAGCCGTCAGGTCTGGGACTAGAACCTGGAACCATAGCTGGCCAAGTGGGAGTCCAGCCCCTTAACCACCATGCTACCTGCTGGCCCCAGCAGCATCTACTTTCATCAAGTAGCCATCATCCTTTTGAAAAATGACTTGGTTTGCTTCTGGGCCCCAGGCATCAGACACTGTGATCCCGCAACCTGAGCTGTTCCTCTTAAACTGGACACTATGTTGATCCGCCTGGCCAGGACACTGGTCTGCCCCAGAGCACTCCAGGTAGGAGTGGAATGGAAAGAAGCCAGTCTCGAAGGCAGACGTAAGTTAAATGAGCAGGTAGGTAGCTCACACTCCAGTATGCCAACTCCTGCGATTCTCCCACCCCCAATCAGCCCTTACTCATGAGGGGCTCCCTCTAATCATCTAATTCAGAAGAAAAAAACTGAAGGCCATTTTATGAATAAAGAATAAGACAGTAAAAGCTGTGGGGAGTGCCGTGGTGTTACAGTACCACTCTGGGACAGTCTCAGAGGGTGGCGGTAAAGGCAAACATTCTCAGCGAGGGCTTTACGTACTATGTCTCATTGTCCCCCAGCCTTGGAGTTGAGGGTCGGAGTCTGGGACATATGGACTCATTCAGTGGCGGGGAACAAACCAGTAATGGCTAAGATTTAGAAAACAGGTAGGTGAGTAACTTTCAAAACTAGCCCAGCGTATCGTACTTTGTCCTAATGTGAAGTTCACCAAGAGTCCCAGGGTAGAGGTGGCTCACAATAGACCAGGTGGCTGACACTTGCCCCGTGGAGGTCAACTAGCTTTGTTCTTTCTTTCTTTTTTAAAGAATTATCTATTTTAATTTTATTTATCCATTCGTTTTGGTCCAGAACTTGAACCATGGTCAGCCACGTGGGAGTGTCCAATGCCTTAACCACCATGCCATCTGCTGGTCCCCAAGTCAAGTAGCTTTTTAAAGAGAGTTTCTTGCTACAGGGCACATGTACTCACTGGAGAGACAGAGACAGAAAGCAAGAAATCATCCCTCAGAGGGAATGGCAATGCTGTAATTCCTTCTCTTCTACTCTCCTCTCAGGATTTTGGGCACATACACATGCCCCTGGCCTGAGTTTCAAGCTGCTGGATCCAGGACTCGAACCATAGTCAGCCATGTGGGAGTCCAGCAATGTAACCATTAACGCCATCTGCTGGTCTCCCAGCCAGGCCTTTTCCACAGCCCCTCCAGGATGTGGTCAAGGGGCTCATGAATAGAGGGGTTAAAATGACAGAGACAGAGACAATGCATTTGTTAACCTGGACATTCCTCCCCTGCTCCTGCTGAGTGACTGCCAGTCAGGGAGGGAAGCAAGCCCAGGCCCTGCGAGGTGCGACACCTCAGGGACCAGTAGGCATCTGTGTCAGGCTGATTCCACCCAACCCCTTCTTTTGCGGATCTCCTTTGTAAGACTGAACACTTAACTAGAACTTGAACTATTTACAGTCTCGCTCACTGCTACGTATTCACACAGCAGCTTCCTGCCAAGGAACTCATTTTTACACCTACAGATGTAAGGCAGCAGGAAAGGCCCACAGGGATTCACGATCCTCCCCCAGAACTGGCTGGCCTTTCTGGAAGGTACAAAGACCCACGTAAAACTCAGGTAAGGTCACATCTGTTCAGGGTCCATGGTTATTTCACTGAGAGCCTGAAAATCTGCTTGTTTAGAGGTATTAATACCTAAAGGAGGAAAGTTATCAGAGCTGTTTTTTTCTTCTTTATATTTTCTACACTGTTTTTAAATTTTTAAAAATTATTTATTATTATTTGTACATTAAATTGCTATATATCATTTAGATTGTGAAGAGACTTTAATTTTCAATGAATATATAATTACTTTTAAATGAGAATAAAGAGTTTTAGAAAGCATTTTAATGTCCAACTTATCTAGGCTTGCTCCTTTTGATCTTCATAGCTCTTACATCTGAGGTGCTGAGATGAAGCGGGTGATAACAATAAATGTGTGGACTAACTCATTTGCTTCTTCCTGGGCCTGTGGAGAAGCATCACTTGGGGAGTGAAAGGGCAGAGAGAGGTCTGGGAACGCGCCTCAGGTCACAGAGCAGCAAGGGAAGCAGCTGTGAGGGGGAGCCAGGTAGCCTGGCTGTGGGTGTCTCTGTCTCCCGCACCTACCACATGACTATCATGCTATCACAAAGAACCGCCACCCCCCACTCACCTGGCTAATAATGATATTTTTGACTGTGTGTCCCAACTTCCAGTGCCCCAGTTCATGGCCCAGGACAGCAAGCACTTCTTCATTTTTACATCCTTGCTTCTTATTCTGAATCAAAGAACAGACAGAAAATAAATGACTAAGAATCGTCAAAAAGTTTTATCTTTTAATGCTGTAATATCTCTTCACAGAATCAAAGTTAAGGAAACAATCGGATTTTTTGTGCAAAACTGTTCCTTCACTTAAAACATTCCTTAAATTACTGCACCACGTGAGACGAGACATCGCATTAAACACTCAACACAGAACCACAAACAAAACAGACGTTCTGACTTCATAAAGCTTGCAGCTAATTTAGATTAGGGGAAAAAATAATAAACTGGAAAAGGGGGCACAGTCATGGGTGTGACGCCTGGCAGGGCTGACTCCCAGGGTGGACTCTGGGTTCGCATCTGGAGACCTGCCTGAGTACACTGGGTGCACTTGTGCCCACGGGTCAGGGAGAGGATCATGGCACTGGGACCCTATTGAGGATGCAATGTTTCTCTCTGTCTCTCTCTTACTTGCTTGCTTATGAAAGAAATAGCTAAGAGAACTCTGAAAAGAAACACTGGAAATAAATTTAAATCTTTTTTTGTCAGAAGGCACATGTAACTCATCTGAGAGAAAGCGTACCTTCCCACCCCCATGGGGGATAGTTTTCCACAATCCTTTTTCCATTGCCCCTTCCCATCAGGATTTTGGGCACTCATGTACATGTGTCCAACATGTTTTTCAAGCCACCAGGGCCAGGATTCAAACTGTGGGTGGCCACGTGAGAGCTGGCTCTCTTTAACCACTGAGCTATTGGGCAAGCCTTGTTTTCAGAGATCATATTTTATTTATTTAAATTCAGTTTTGCTATAGGGTGCATGCACTCACCAGAGAGAAATAGACAAGAGACAGAAAGAGAGAGAGAAAGTAGGAAGTTACCCTCCAGAGGGGATGGCCACACCACAATCCCTTCTCCAGTCTCCTCTCAGGATTTTGGGTATGCATGCACATGTGCCTACTGGGTTTTTCAACCCGCTGAGTCCAGGACTTCAAGCTGTGGGAGCCAGTTGCCTAACTACCACACCACCAGTCGGCCCAAAGATTATGTTCTTACACAAGTAATTACTCATGATAGATACAGTCAAACAACAGCTATCATAATACCCATCGGAAACATTTTCAAAGATGATGTTCTGACAACATCTTGAAAGCAAGACGCAGAAAGCAGACTAAGCAGAGCAAAAAATAAATAAAAAAGCCGAATCATACATAAGCAGTGGTAGAAAAAGGCGAAGAACCAGCTTGATTTTCAGCAGAAGTATTCAAAAGGCTGGAAGTAACAGCATGAGACACCTTTGGAAATGAGGGGACTAGAAGTAGGTGGCTAAATAAGAATTGGGCAAGAGCTGTTTGAGAAGCAGTCAAAGCTCCAGGTTCCCTCTTTAACTCCATGGCAACAGGCAACCGCTCCTCCCTCATCCTGGCAGATGCCTGCAAGTTTAGTCTCTGCAGAGGGCAAAAGGAGAGAGCCTTACAACTAGGTGTCCAACACAGCTGAGGCTCAGGGGTTACGAGCAACATACTAAGTACCTGGTTACCTATTGACAGGACAGGCTGAACAGTGAGACTCCCTCCCCCAACCCTTTCCCCATACTTGGCTCTTAAACACTACCCTGCAGGCAGGAGACCGGAAGAATACTCTCTTGGGACCCTGACCACTCCACCACAAAAGACCTTAAGATACTAAAACCAGGTAAACATATCCAACAAGCCCACCTTACAACGAAACTCAAAATCGATACACCGTACCTATAGGTTCAGAGATTCTGATCAGGTTTTTAGTTCCATTCTCTTACAAGGAGCAGATAACCAAAGATTAACAGGTATATGGTAAGCTGTTAAGAAGGAAACCAGATCCAGATAAAAAGCAACATGAAAGGCCAGCCAGTGGCACAGTGGCTACAGTGGCTGGATCCCACATGAACGATTCTGCAGTTTGAGTCCTGGACCCAGTGGCTTGAAAACATGCCAGGCTCGTGTGTGTGCATGCCCAAAATCCAAAGAGGAAAGATGAGAAGGGACTGCAGCATGGCCATCCCCAGCCGGGGGTGCTTTCTCACTTTCTCTCTCTCTCTTCAGCAAGCACAAACATCCTACTGCCAAAATATACATACATACATATATATATATATAAAACTACCAAGTCCTTTAGGTTTATTAAATTATTGATGATTTTTGTTACAGATATTTTCTAACTTTTCTATTACTTTATTAATAAGAAAAATATATAGCTAATTTTATGTTTAATAATAACAGGGAAAATAGCTTCCATATGTACCTAATAATGTAGGTATAAGGTGTTTTACATACAGCTCGTGAATTTTCACTGTTATAAGACAGGTATTATTACTTTATATAAAGTAACATAAGGGCTATTTCCCACTGAAAGGAGACTTGCTTATTCACGGCTGATTCTTTGAACTGGGTTTTCTTTTCTTCCTACACTAATTTTACATAAATGAACAGAGAAGCATATCATCTTTCTTTTACTTTCATAAAGCACTTTCCTTTTGTTCTTTTTAATGCCTAAGAGTGAGAATAGAAGAGAGGGAAGAAAGGATGAGAGACAGAGAAGGAATATTCTGACAGGACCTCACTGTGCTGAGACCCTCCTGCCGCCACCTCTTAATTAGCCGGGATTATTGATGCATGCAACCATGCCGGCACGTTCAGGTTGGCTGGAATCAAACCTGGGCCTCCCATGTGGCTTCCAGCGTCCTAAGCAATGGTGCTACATGTGTACCACCACAGTTAGGCCCACTTTCCTTTATATAAAATTCATGATACCTCATTTGATCCTTACCAAGTTGGCAGCCTGGGAAGTATTTTCATTTTGGAGAGAATTTAAAAGAAAGTGAGCAATTACGATGTCTTGCTAATAAGTAGTGGGTAAAATCCACTTATCTGGAGCCTGTGTCCTTTCAACTGTACTTATCAACGGGCAAGACTGCCAGTAATCCTAGTACCAGCTTCCTGGGAAAACACGTTTTCTTCTACAAAAGGATTTTTTATATTATTTCTTTTTCTCTCTTTTTAAAGAAAAAAACTTGCTATAGAGTATGTGCACTTGCCAGAGAGACGCACACACACAGAGAAAGACAGATATGGAGGGAAAGTGAGAAATCACCCCCCAGGGAGGATGGCGATGCCACAATCCCTTCTCCACTACCCCGTGGGAGTTTAGACACACATGCACATGCACCAGCACGTTTGTCAATCTGCTGGATTCAGGACTTGAACCATGTAGTCAGTCATGTGGTATCCAGCACCTGAACCACCACACCACCAGTTAGCCCCATTTGTACATTATTTGTAATTACTACTTTTACTTAGATTGTCTTTGAGATAGGTTTTTCCAATTATCCTATTTGTATTCTGAAGGGTAAAATTCCAGACAGTAAATTCCCTAGATAACTTTTTTAGAGAGATTTTTTGCTATAGGGCATGTGCACTCACCGGAGAGAGAGCGAGCGACAGAGACGATGAGAGGAAAGGTGAGATTTTACCCCCCAGGGGGATAGCCATGTCACAATCCCTTCTCCTCCATTTTCCTCCTCGGATCTTGAGCACACTCGTACACGTGCTCTGCCTAAGTTTCAAGCCACCAGGTCTGGGACTCAAATCGCGGCTGGTCATGTGGAGAGTCCAGCAAGGTAATCACCATGTCATCTGCTGGCCCTAGATACCCTTTTAAATGCAACAGCCATTACAGAGACATTCGTCAAAATGTTAACAGCCGTTATCTAGTAAGAAGACAGGTTCAGGTCACTGTAGTTTTCCTTCAATTTCTGTTAAAAATGAAACACTTCGGGGATCAGCAGTTAGAGCAATGGGTATGTCGCTGAACTCTCAAGTAGTCGACTGTGGTTCGAGTCCCGTCCTGGACCCAGTGGCTTAAACTCACGCCAGGCGTGTGTGTGTGCGTGTGTGCCCAAGATCCCAAAAGGAGAATAGAGGAGAAGGGACTGCGGTGTGGCCATCCCCCCTGGGGGGTGATTTCTCACTATCTCTCTGTCTCTCTGTCGGGCGAGCGCACACACTCTATAGCAAAAACCCCTCCAAAAAAAAAAAAACAAATAAAAATGCTTAGCCTTATCTTATATGACAACATACATGAAATCATGAATTCAATATGCTTTTATCTTTTTCATCATGTATGTGAAAAGATACATAACTATTCCAATTTAAAATACTGATATGCTCCCTAAAATCATCTCATCACTGGTATACACCTCAGAATGCAATAGTTAATGAGTTTTTGGGGTTTTTTTTGAGAGTTGTTTTTTTTATTTTTTATTTTTTTTTTGCTATAGGGCACGTGCGCTCGCCAGACAGAGAGACAGAAAGCGAGAAATCACCCCCCCAGGGGGGATGGCCACGTGCAATCCCTTCTCCTTTCTCCTCTCGGGATCTTGGGCATGCACACACATGCACCCGGCATGAGTTTAAGCCACCAGGTCTGGGACTCGAACTGTGGTCGACTACGTGGGAGTCCAGCGACATGGCCATTACAATAACTGCTGGTCCCTTTTTAACTTTTTTTTTTTTTTGGAGAGGTTTTTATTTTTAGTTAATGAATTTTTTAAAATTTTATTTATTCATTCATTTTAATTTGACTAGAGACACACACAGAGAGAGAGAGGGAAAGTGAGAAAACAAGCCACCAGGTCTAGGACTTGAACTAGGGTCAGCCATGTGAGAGTGTCTAGGGCCTTAACTATCATGCCACCTGCTGGTCCCCTACAATAGTTAATGAGTTTTGGGGGAACCAGCAGTTAGCGTAATGGCTATGTCGCTGGACTCCCACGTAGTCGACCGTGGTTCGTGTCCCGGACCCGGTGGCTTAAAACTCACGCCGGGCGTGTGTGTGTGCGTGCCCATGATCCTGAGAGGAGAATGGAGGAGAAGGGATTGCGGCGTGACCATCCCCCCTGGGGGGTGATTTCTCGCTTTCTGTCTCTCTGTCTCTCTCTGTCTGTCTGGCGAGCGCATGCGCCCTATAGTGAAAAATCTCTCAAAAGAAAAAAAAAAGAAAAAGAAATGTGGTGGGCCACATGGGATCCAGCTCTCTGTTAGCACTTAACCACTATGCTAAGGAATCAGTGCCTCCCACCAGATTTTAATTGCCCTAAAACAATCTCTGGCCTCTACCCAAATCAGTCTAAGCTTTCCAAGCCACTGGAAACAACCACTTGAAGTCTTCAGAAAAAAGTGTTCTACAGGGACCAGCAGATGGCATAATGGTTGTCACTGGACTCCCACAAAGTGATTTGAGTTCTAGATTCGGTGGCTTAAAACTCATGTCCAAAATCCTGAGATAATGGAGAAGGGATTGAGACATGACCATATCCCCGGGGGGTGATTTCTCACTTTCTGTTTCTCTGTCTCTGTCTCTTCAGAGAGTGCACATGCCCCATAGCAAAAAATTTCACAGAAAAAGAAGAGTGTTGTACAAACGGGCCTGCCTTTCCATCCCCATCTACATCCACTTAATCACTGGTCTCAGAAAACATGCAGGGATCTTTACTGTCTCTAAGGCTTTAATCATTCCTATCTTCAACCTGAGAAGCCTCCCCTCGAGTAAAAGTTCTGTCTAGTTCAAATCCTCTCTTCTAAGAAAACTCTCTGATCAATAGAATCTGCATTAATATCTGAATTTCTAAAAGTCACACTTATTTCAGCCACTCAACATTTACCACACCCTACTTTAAACCATGGGTATTTGTCTCCTCTATTTTAGGTTTTTAGGGTAGGATGATGTCTAATGTGTCGTGTTGTGTAACTTGCATGTAGATAATAAATGTTTGCAGTTAACTGATAAAACAAAGCATGCTCTTCAGAAGCCAGCAAAATAAGTCAGACCCATTCAACACACTTCATGGAACTACCCAACCGTTTTTATAGCCAGAGAAAACCGTCCTCATGGATATCAAGGGTCTGCAATTTCATTTCACTGCTTGCCGTCACTGGCACTAACTAACATCTAAGTGAACTCTGATGTAATCTACCCTGTTTGTGGATGCCTCTGAAGCAGGCTAACTTGCTGGTCTTGCAGCATTCTCCAGGGTTATCATCGGATTACACTTTTCAGACTTCAGTTTTCCTATGTAAACAATGACCTTAGGGCTGGCTCTGTAGTCCAGTGGAAACACGCTACTCAAGAAAAGCTAGATCCCATGTGGTGACCAAGGTGTGAATCCCTGGGCTGGTTGGCCTGAAACACATCAAGCATACACACAAGTGCCTAAGAACTAAGGGGTTGAGGTTTGCAACGAGGGGGCTGCGGTGTACAAGAGAATGGTGTACCCGTAAGCGTGCCCGTGGTTCTGGCTGGTGTACCCGTAAGCGCGCCCGCGGTCCCAGCCGGCGTACCCGTAAGCGCGCCTGCGGTCCCGGCCGGCGTGGTGTGGTCATCTGACTGCCTCCCTTTTCGACTACAGGCTTAAGAGGAAGGTTTGTATCTCCATTTCATATTCTTGGTGCCAAGCAAAGAATTTCTGAACAGAGTATAACATTTCAGAAACATGTATTAAACAAAAAAAATGGATTAAAGTGCATAACATGCTCAAGGACACAAATCTACTGAATGACAGAATCAGGACTCAAATCCAAATTTCTGTGTTGCCAAAGCCTAGAATTACTACAACTCCATCAAGCTAAAAATTATTTATCTTCTCTTTGTCCTGATTGTGGGAATTCTCTGATCATAAACATATTAGAAATGCATATGTAAGCATATATATATATGTATATATATATATACACATACATACATATATATATATACATACACACACACACACACACACACACATTTAGTCCCTATTTCAAAGACAGCTCATAACTACAAATTTTCCTATCTTCTAAGAGCTTCTAATTTTCTTCTCTCTTAATACATTCTGTAAAAGCGTGCAAGGTAGTTACCAGGCAATGATGCTGCAATCTCTACCAAATACAGACCTAGAAAGGGGCCAGGGAGTCTTAATTTGATAGTCTCCCTCAATTCAACACTTACTGCACAGAAACTGATGTAACTTTGAGTTGCCAAAGGAACTGTGTTTAAAATCTGAGGCACAGGTTCTTAGGAAAAGAAGAACTCACTTTAACTTTAGCTTTAATTTCTTCACTGTCCCCTTCTCCTTCCTTGCGGGGCTCCGTGCCAGAGTCCTCCTGGATGTCTTTGTTTAGTATAGAGTACTCCTCTAGCAGAGTGTCAAACAAAACTAATCGCTTGTTCTTGAAGAAGCCATAAAA